GGGGAGGCCCTGGCACAGGTTGCCCAGAGAAGCTGTGGCTGCCCCTGGATCCCTGGAAGTGTCCAAGGCCAGGTTGGATGGGCTTGGAGCAAGCTGGGCTGGTGGGAGGTGTCCCTGCCCATGGCAGGGGTAGGAACTGGATGAGTTTTAAGGTCCTTTCCCACCCAAACCATTCCATGACTCCATGACTCTCTAGGGTACCTCAGGCACACACTGAGGGAGACTGGCAGTACCATGGAGATGGAGACGGTTCTGAAAATAAACCTGAACAGAGAGCAGTTCCTGCTAAAGCTCATGAAAGTTGCTTTTGGTTTGTTTTTTTTTTTTTTTGAGGGGGTGGCTCTTTCCCATTCAGTATCAGGGCTCTAAACCTGCCAGTCCCGACCCCGGCTGGGTATCCCTGAGCGGGGTTCAGCAGCCCGGGCTGCCCCGGGCCCCGAGCTTTCCCTGCACACAGCGCTGCTCCTGGGGGGCATCCCTGCTCCCGTTCCCGGGGGATCCCTGCTCCCGTTCCCGGCAGAGGGAGTCGTGTGGGGACGAGGAGGGCGGGAAGGGCGGGCCCGGGCCCAGGCGCGGCCACATGAGCGCGCCGGGCGCCAAGGCCCCCACGGCCGGGGATGTAGCTCAGTGGTAGAGCGCGCGCTTCGCATGTGTGAGGTCCCGGGTTCAATCCCCGGCATCTCCAGGCGTTTCTTTTCCTTGTCCTCTTTTTCTTTTTTTTTTTTCCTTTAATTATTATTTTTCCCGTCATCCCCGCGCGGCCGCCGCGGGGACAGGTCTCCCGGGGGGGAAGGGTTCCCTCGGGCGGGAAGAGGCGCCGCCGGGATGGCCATCCCGACATCCATCCTCTTCCCGCCCGAGGGAACCCCCCCCCCGCGGGGAAAACGAAAGCGCCGCGGCCCCAAAAACGCGACGGCTTCTTTCCGCCCGCAAAAATACGAGTTGCATTGGCCGGGAATCGAACCCGGGCCTCCCGCGTGGCAGGCGAGAATTCTACCACTGAACCACCAATGCCCGCTCGGAGGGATCCGCCCGCCCCTGCCTGAACCAGCTCACCCCGCGCTTTTTACCCTTTCCGCCTGTTTTCCGCCCTTTTCCAGCCCCCATGTCCCCGGGCAGCACTTCGGAGCCGTTATTCCCCGGGGAAAAAGGGCGTTAGAAACTTAGCAATGCCTGCTATACGTTTTTCCTCTAAAGGATTACAACCCCCCCTAGAAAAGTGTATGACGTCCCCATCACACGCTCCACAGAGCCTGCTCTCGTTCATCCCTCACAGACATGAGATTTCAGTAATCATTTTTATTTCATTGCATCATTTCTCAGCATATTGTTTGAAAACTTTTTTGCTCAGCGCATTCTTTGAAACCCTTTTTTTCAGCATATTTTTTGAAAACTTTTTTTTCCCTCAGCATATTCCTTGAAAACTTTTTTTTTCCTCAGCATATTCCTTGAAAACTTTTTTTTTTCTCAGCATATTCTTTGAAAACTTTTTCTCAGTATATTCCTTGAAAACTTTTTTTTTCTCAGCATATTCTTTGAGAACTCCTTCTTTGATTGTTTTTTTTTTTTCCTCTAAGCATTCTGTTAGTATCTTCTCAGGGATAAACAAATGTTATTCCTTGAATAAGTCAGGGGAATGTTCAAGGAACAGCAGCACCAAGTGTTTCACTTCAAGGAAACATTAAGATTTACGTACAAAAAGAATAGTTGTGCTTGAGGACACGGCCCAGGTAGGAGGAACACCGACTACCAACCACCTCTGGAAAAGGAGGAAGCAGGTGTTTTCTTCTTCAGCCAACAGCAATCTGGCACTACAGGTGCTGTTCCAATGTCCTGTGTGGACACACATGAACACCACAATGTAACCATACGTCACAGTTCCCTTCCCTTCTTAACTTCCTCCAGCAGAAGGTGATATTGTAAAAACTTCAAGCAAAAACTGCAGTTTAGGTTATTGCTCATGACTGCATCAGTCAGCCTAGAAAAACTGTTCCCAGACAAGCCCAGGACCAGAAATCCCCAAGCACTTACATAAAAAAATATACATATTGAGAAGCCCCTAATTCCCTATTTACTGTGCCTAGCAGTTAGCCAAGAGGAGGTGAACAGAAAGCACTGACCAACTGGTTTCCCTCTACTTTTATTCTGTCACCTTCTCTCATTGCTGGTGAGCTGAGGTGCCAGGGCCCGGCTGGCAGGGGACACCTGGCAACATCTGTGCACAGCCATGTGGGAAACAGCAGCGTGTCCTCAGAGAGAGTCATGGAATCACGGAATCACAGGATGGGTTAGGTTGGAAAAGCCCTCTGATATCACCCAGTCCAAAGGTTCACTCATGGCCAAGGCCACCACTGAGCCATGTCCCCAGGTGCCCTCAGCTCTCTGGGGCAGCTCAGGGCAGAGCAGAACACAGTGTTTCCATGGAACTGCCACTCCTTAGAGAATTATTGCACAGAGGGTCATCACAGTGACACATTTTGCACTACTGGCAAGTCCCACTTGTTCCCAGAGCAGAAGTGAAACCCATCCTTGCACTCGCAGTTGGTAACTCAGAGAACAGTTCCTCGTGTCCATTAGAGCATGTTTTGCATCTGCTCAGAACATCTGGGGGTGTTGGCTGACGTAGTGCAGGGAACTCCATCACCCAGGAGGAGTTTGGCAACTTACAGGCCTCCCTGGGGACCAAATGTCACTCTAGAACATGCTCTGCAAACCCCTTCCCAAGCTGTGTGACCCGGGGTCACACCTGGCTTCCCTTAAAACTCACTGTGAGCAGGAGAGTGATGCACGGAGGAGAGAACTGAGACCTGTAGTATTGGATAGGGTGGTCCAGAGCCTCAGAACTGGTGAAAAATTCATAGGATTGGTTCAGTTGATTAAGAATCCCCATGATCTCTGATGTTGGTGCTTCTGGCTGAGGGAAACTGCGTCTTCCTGTGCTTCCTGTGTCACCACCAGCACCTGGAGGTGCTCTAGTGTGTGCCTCCAAGGAGGATGCTGCAGCTCCAGGGCACCTGCAGGGCACCGCAGCCTCACACACCCCAGTCCAGCTGGTGCAGCTGAGAGAGGAACAAGGTTGATAGGCAGCAGTAAAACAGCTCAAATCAAGCCTCAAAGTGCAGGTGTGGCTCACCTGGGGTGTGGCTCACCTGGGGTGTGGCTCACCTGGGGTGTGACCAGTGGATATGGCTCATTCCCCCCTCCCTGCCAACAGGGACATGTGTTCCCGTGTCACGCGGCGGGATGGAGGCTGTGCAGCCGCCCGCCATAAAACGGGTGTGGTGTCAATCCTTGGATAGAAAACAGGGAAAGTGGGATGGTACAGATATACCTGCTGGCTCTGATCCACCTCAAGTGGAGCTGTATTAAATCATGCAAGTCCTACAAAGAGCAGCTGAGGGAGCTGGGGGGGCTCAACCTGGAGAAAAGGAGGCTCAGGGGGGACCTTCTGGCTCTGCAACCCCCTGACAGGAGGGGGGAGCCGGGGGGAATCGGGCTCTGCTCCCAGGGAACAAGGGACAGGAGGAGAGGGAACGGCCTCAGGCTGTGCCAGGGGAGGCTCAGGTTGGACATCAGGAGGATTTTCTCCCTGGAAAGGGCGGTCAGGCCTTGGCAGGGGCTGCCCAGGGAGGTTTGGAGTGCCCAGCCCTGGAGGTGTCCCAGGAAGGCCTGGCCGTGGCACTCAGTGCTCTGGGCTGGGGGACAAGGTGGGCATTGGGCACAGGGTGGACTCCATGGAGGCCTTTTCCAACCTCAATGATCCTGTGATTCTGTGAGTGGAGATCTTAGAAATTGTGCCTGAGGAGTAACTCCGAGTGCCCTGACATACAGCAAACCTCTTTGTAAGAACCAACCCGTGCTTCACTAACACATACCTAATATCACCCGGGAGGTCCAGTCCAGACTTCCAAAACACCGAAGGATAACGACTGGCTTTTCAAAATGGCTTCTAAAAGCCTCCTCATAAAGGCTTCCAGAGCGTGCTCTTGTCTCTTCTTCCAGAGTGCAGAGGAATCGCTCCATCTCCGGCGAGTTCTCCGCTGAGTGGAGCACACGCACATCAACTTGATTTTAACAGGTCACGGAATAAGCCGGGCATTTAAAAATATCCACCTACCCAAAAGGACAAATGAAGCCGTATTGTGGAGCCTTCAGCAAAGATTGTTGGAACAAAACAAACAAAACAATCGTGGTAATCTTTTAGGGAAGACTTATAATGTAGAACAACTTGTCAGAGCGGGTTAAAGTTTTAAGGCCTAGCAATTTTGACAGCGTCCCTTTGAGCACAGCGCGAGCGCGGGGACGAGCAGGACAGCAAAAGGTCACTTGGTCACACGTATCCGCTGCCTCCCTGAAGTTTAGCTCAAGACCCACTAGGCACGTCCCAATTAATTATTTAAATCTGCAGGGAAAAGTATTTCTGTAGATGAAAAGGTATGATCTGAAATTCCAGGGAAGCTGCAGGATGGCTGGTGTGGTCAAAAACGGTGCTAAAGGAAGATGGGGTGAGATATCCCATCCATGGGCTTTGGACACTGAGAGGAGCCATTTACATCCAGGAATGCTGATTGTTTCAGATACCAGCCAAGGGGAAACACAGGGATTTTCCAATATCCCTTTTCTCCCAATGGAACAGTTCTGGACCACTAAAGGTCACCAAAACCAAACTGACAATTATATACATGGTTATTTAAAATAATTTCCCCCAACACAACCACTGATGATGTTGCTGGAAATCTGTGCAAGTTCCTTATAAACCACGGACACCCTGAAAATGTTCATTCCAGATCTCACCCAAATGGTCCCAAAGGAACACCATCAGACAGGCAATGCCAGGGAAATGAGCACTGGAAGAGAACAGGAGACTGAAATCCTCTCTTTATTCATTATGCACTGGGATATCAGGCTGGGGTTTTCAAAGTGATCTTTGAACTGGTTTTCTAAGGTTTTCCTAATCAATTCAATGGAGAAAATACCTGGATAAACAGCAGATGTGTAAATTCACCAGGACTCGTTTTGGTCTGTCATTGTCTCAGAATAAAAAACAATACAGTACAAATTCCAAAGAGCCTTTTGCAGTCCATTTACTGAATATAATCTCTCACTCTGGCACATGTAGAGGAAATAAATTTAATAGATTTTTTATATATATATTTCCTGCCACAACCAAGATCTTTAAACGTTTAAAGATAAAATAAGTACTCTTGACTAGTCCAAGCAGCCCTGCTTTCTAAAAGATATTGTCTTTCTTTTCTTCACCAAGGAAATTCACATTTTCTATCAGACCTAGCTCGGCTGTTTGCCCCAAAAAACAGAGATAGTCCACATCCCTTCCTTCCGTTCCCTGCCTGTGCTGCCATTGCAGGGAGAGGCCAATTAATGATGGTGTTTGTTCTGCCACACAGAACGTGCCCCGCGACCTTATTCTTTTAAAACTGCAATTTTTGCATTTGTTTCTGCGGCTCAGCCCTGATGTGGGATCTTGATGGAACAGCAAACAATCAGACATGATTATGATGATAACACATTCTGCAGTTTTAATAGAAAAAGGATCCCCTTGCTCATTCTCAGACACACAGTGGATGGATTTATCTGTTGCATGTAGGGGAAACGATTAAACACCAGCAACACTTCCTGGTTCATTGGCAAACTGAGCATCCCATGGGAAGCCACAGGGTTGTACTTCGACTGACACCTGACACCCGCAGCCCAAGATGAGAACAATCTCAATGTTTAACCACAGCCATGACTAAGTACTTTTATTTTCCAACGGGAGGACCTACCGTGGATCCCACTGGAAAAAAATCTCAGCAGAGAAATTCTGCGTCTGTTCCTGTCCCTCCGCCTCAGCTCTCCTGCGATCATCAGCACCCCTTGCTCCTCACAAAGACACTTTCCTGAAGACAGATTAGGAGCAAACATATTTGTGAACGTATGAACAGATTTTCTCCTTATGATACATAACTTTGGCATGCAGTCAGGAAACGAGGATAATCTTCTTCCCCATCTTCCCTCGCTAATGAAGAGAAACTGCCTCTGGGGTTCAGGACAAAAGGTGAACTCTCCCTGCACACAATTTACACCTGCTGAGCACATGATTTCGGGCATCTAAAATTCGTGTCTTGGCAGGTGTCCCGGGGACTCAGCCACACACACGGAGACTCAGGAGGTAATATTTTCATCTAGGCATTAAATAAAAAGCAGAGTCAAGAGGGATGAATTTTGCGGTATTTTCAGGCATCTCTCTTTTTTTTTTACCCTTGTAAAATTCTTTCACTTTGCAAACTTATGAAGCCCAATCTTTGCCAATGAGTAACTAAGATAAAAACAGAGGTAAAAAGTAACTAAGACGAAAAGACAGCAGTAGTTGAACAGAAGCCTGATGGAGGGAGGAGAGAAGAGCCCATCCCTGTTCATTGGTAGCAGCACTGTGAACATGTGGACAACCTCTCCTGGAAAGTGAGATTGCTTGGCAAATGTGATCCTTATAAAGTTTTCACTCACTCCTGGATTTCTCTTTATGAGGAGAGTAGTGCAATGTTCTCATTTTCTACTCCCTCCAAGATTTTGCTGGTATGGAAGAGCTGATGAGACACAGCAGTGCTGGGTGCAGAAAATGTTCACTTGGAAACAGAACGTAGACACATTTTGTGCTAATAAACTGCCTTGTTTGAAGTCAATAATGTGATATATAAATAATTGTGATTCGTGAAACAAATGGGTGATTATATCAAAATAAAACAAACGGATTGTAAAACTTAATTACACCCCCATAAAGAAATAAAACAGACTCTTACAAGGTCAAGAGGCCTAAAACCTCCTTACTATCCTAAGAATAAAATATAGTAGAACCTTAAATCTTTAGGCGTGTGTTCGTCCAAGAATGCATGAATTATGACTGGTTGTAGAGACAACCCTTTCAGCTTTAGCTTTAAGAAAACTCATATATTAGATACTTAGCAAAAACCTGTAGAATGTATATGTATATGATATAATTAATATGCATGAAGTAGCTAAGATAAATACTAAATGTACCCTGTAGTAGGGGTGTGCAGATTTGGGAAACTGGTCCCATTTCTGTCACCCAGGCGGCTGCTTGCTTTTACCATATAATAAACTATTATTTGAAACTTTGAAACTCGAGACTTTGTTTATCACAATAAGAAATGACCATAAATTAAAACTGACAGCACAGCCTCGAGTGGGTAGACAACACCCTTGAGGGGTGGGAGGGCAGAAGATTTTCCCAGTTCTAACAAACTTATGATCAAGTTTTGAATATTTGTTAGAAATGCATGAAATGATAACATTTTGTGCCACATCAGGACACATACATGGTGAAGGCATTCACACCCAGAACTTGTTAGAACACATACATGGGGTAGGCATTCGCTTGTAGAACCATGTGTGTGTTGGATCATGCTGCAATTATTCACCACAAATTGCATTCAAATCCCTTTTTTCCCCCCCAATTCTTCTTCCTTTCTCACGATCTCTCAAAAAGAGAAAAACAAACAAACAAAAAATCAAATAAAGAAACAAACAAAAACCCAAACAGAACACTGTATCCCAAACCCAAACAAAACATCGTACTCCAAACCCATAACCTCAAACACCAATTGATCATTTTCTGGTGAGTTTCCTTGGATTTTCTAACCTTCCTCTGCAGCTGAGGGCTTCTAAGCCTGAACATCTAAAAATTCCAGCTGCCACTTGAGATCTTACTCCCTTTTAAGAGCACTTATGTGCCTGGGATAAACACGGCTCCCATCACCGGTGGCCTGAATATCACTGACTTTGCAAAACCCGTGAAATCCAACCCCTGCAGTTGTTTACTGCCTTTAAGCGACACCCCGGCAGCTGCCGACCACGAGGAGCTGCGCGGGTGGCAGCGCCGGGCCCCACGCGTGGGCCCGAGGCCTCCGGCACGGCCGCCCGCGCAGCCCCGGGGAGGGGCCGCCATGGGCGGCGACCCCCGTCACGCGAGGCCGGGGATGAGGAGGCCGCGCCGGGCCCCTCCCCGCGGGCCAGGCCGCACCGGCGGCCCCGGGCAGGGCAGGGCAGGGCAGGGCGGGGAGGTGCCCGCGGTGTTCGAGGCGGAGCTCGGGGGAGCCGGGCTGGCTGCTGCAGGCGGAGGGCGGGCGGCAGAGAGCCGCCCTCCCTACTTGTGCTGCCGCCGGCCGCCGAGCCGCCCGCACAGGCACCGCGGGCTGCCGCGGTAAGTGGCTCTCGGGGGTATTTCCGAGCGGGGTTCGGAGCCGCGGGGGTGGCGCGGGGGGATGGAGGGAGCGGGGCCGGCCCGGACACGCGGGTGGAAGGCGGGGAAGCCCCGGGGGTGCCTTTATTGTGAGTGCAGATGAGCCGCATCCCTCCTGCCTCCGCTCCGCTCCTTACCCTGCCGGCCCGGCAGCTGCCCCAGCCCGGGGAGTGCCCAGGCCGGGCTGGACGGGGCTTGGGGCAACCTGGGCTAGGGAAAGGTGTCCCTGCCCGTGGCAGGGCGTGGGACGGCAGCATCTTTAAGGTCCCTTCCCACCCAAACCAGTCTGGGCTTTTATGATTCTGTGTGTAAGGCTCACAGAACAGCGCGGGTAGGTGGGATGTTGGGGGTATTGAGGCCCTGGCCCAGGTTGCCCAGAGAAGCTGTGGCTGCCCCTGGATCCCTGGAAGTGT